AACAACTGGTGGAAATCGGTAATTTTATATTAATCTTTTTGTGCTATTAGCACAATAATTACAGTGATGGGTTGATTATAATAATGTTATAGTGGCATTATTGTAATAATGCCATTTTTTATGACCATATAATTGCATTGTTTTGTTGGGATGAAATTTTTATGGTGGTCTGGTGATGGTGAATGGTATATAATGACCAAACGACCATGGTGAAATAGCAATGATAGGGTGAAGGTGGTCAGACGAAGACAATCAAGCGATAGTGGTTTAACAAAGGCAATGGTGATCACCAGTAACCAGCGGTACCCAGCATTGATACCGAGCAAAAAAGTGATATGGCTCATTTTGATTGGCCTTCGGACGACGTCCGGTGACCGCACAGAATAATTTATCTAAGAATTGATGTTAATTTATAGTATTTGTTGGTAGCATTTTAGTAAGCGTAATTAAATTTTATAACACTTCATCGGACGTTCTATCATGAATCCTTCGATCATAGACTAATTAATTAGTATTTAAGTATCCTAATGACTTTAAAATTAAACGAACTTAGATTGGTTGGATTTGTCTTATCAAATTGTTTGATTTGATCATAATCATATAAAATTTTGAGACCATTTGATCATTTAATTAATATCCTGAAAGTACCATAAACACTTTTATGTGCTTGATTTGAGCTCATTTGAACTCAACTCATATCACCTTTTGTACATTGGGTTCATCTTATCGAGATATTCAATTTAACTAACCATATGCTAAAATCAAAGTTCAAATAATCGGTAATTTAATTCTGAAAAATTTTAATTTAAATATTATCTTGAGATTCACATTTGATTGAATTCATTTTTTCATTAATACAATGATTTTAAATTAAATATATCCTCAATTGCAAAATAAGTGTGGTAATTATAATCACACAATAATACAAATTTAAATAATTCACAAAAGATTATTCAGTCAATGAAAAATATCAATAATAAACACCATAGATTTTTGTATCATTCTGCA